TAATATATATATATATATATATATATATATATATATATATATATATATATATATATATATATATATATATATATATTAATAAACCTGGGCAATTAAACCAGTTTCAGCCAGCGTCCTAATATTAGGAGACATTTTGTGCCCCTAAAATAAACAAACCTATAAGCAGAATATAGTAGGAGTGTTGGACTAATGGAAGAGGTACAAACCTGGAGAGTGGAGACCTCTAATTTAAAAAAATGTATTACACTTTGTGCTAAACATGCACCTCCCCTCTCCGCTTCAGTAATTATCAGGCTTCTTACACCCCTGAACCAGTCATTATTAAAATGTTGGTTGAGAGTTATTAAATATCAGCAAAATAAAATATGGCTAAAGCATCTTTTTCCTTTTTTCTAAAATTGTATGACGTCATTTGCATGGATCTTAATTCGACATTGTTATTTAGTACCATCTTTTGTAAAGTAATCTGAATATTTAATTATTAAATTCTACTTCATATTGATCATAATGACATGTTGAAGTTTTTGCTAGTTGACAATCTAATGGATAAGTATGGGGAAGGTTCAACACAGATTCACAAATGTCAGACATGTGAGTATGAAAACAAGATTTACTCGGGAGGCACACACATTACTGAAGGTGGTTCTCTGATGGTGTATGCAGAAGAGGATGAATTTGTCTGTCCAAATTGCGACCCAAGTGCTGCTGATGGAAATGACAGTGATGCTAGTAAGAGAGTAAATATAATAATAATATATTTTATTCCATTGCAGCATTACTGGTACATAGGATATGATACAATATAACAGATACATACAAACAATAAAACTATAGCTATTCCTTAATTACAAACAGTACAGTCAGAGAAAATCTTAGTTAAATGTTGTTCTTTAAGTTTCTAATAATTCTGTACTGTAGCTAGGCAAAGCCATGGATTTTATAATAATATTACTCAATATTTGATATTTCATATGCATTCAACATTTAATTGTAGATGAGATATGCCTGAAATGGACTTAATATTTTAAAAATTTTCTGGTGGACCATGCCATGACCATCTATCTAGTCAAAAAAGACTTTTAAATAAATGTGTACATGTTGTGTTTTTGTGAAACATTAATGTACATTACCGAGGCCGGTAGGGGGAAGATACCCAAGGCCTGGAAGTCAGGGGGCCAGCAGAAAATTACCAGAGTGCCATACATAGAGCGCAGCTCACATGAGTGTTTGTGTGTGTGTATGTGTGTGTGGATGGGAGGCAATGGTCACAAATCTACCCTGGGGCAATATGATGGTTCTTGCTAGTCATGCATGTATACTAAAAATTTTGACTAAATGTTAATAGGAGTGCCTGAGGTGAATGACAGAAAATTAGAAAACAAAGAAGAGAAAGACATAAAAGAAAAAAGTACAACTGATAAAAAGATTGGAGCATGGAAGAAGAGAAAGAGTACAGTTGAGAAAAGCACGGAAATCGCTTTTAACTAGTTCAAAGAAACTGCTAAAGATGATTTCGAAAGATAGGTGATTACACATATAACAGGATGGTTCTGAAACAGAATGATATGGAAGTAGTAAAATCAAACAGGATCGATGAAGGTTGTTTGACTCTATAAATCTGTGTGCACTGCAATGTTTGCAGAGTGGGCATAACTTATTTGTGATATTCCAACAACATGTAATTTAGGAATTATTTTAAACCTGCATTCAGATATGCATAGTTTATTTTAAATTTAAAATTAGCAAACTGTTATTTCATTTTGAAGTTAAATGTCAATTTTTTATCTTTATATTGTTCAATAATTTTCATAAAGTTGTGGTACCATTGCATGCCTTATTTGTTTCTAATTGCCTATGCAAGTATATGGCCCTCTAGTCTACTATAAATAAGTTCCAACTTTAAAAACATGTTGTCCACAAGCAGATGACTCCAGGATTAATTGTGTTGGCCAAACAATATATTGTGAACATTTCTTAAACAATATTCCGGACAATTTAACTATGACTTTTAAACAGACCAATTGTATTCCCCTAATTAATATCTTCCAGATATAAGAAATTTGAACAGGCAAGACTAGATAAAAAGCACCAATTCTATATGGAACAAACAAGACTGGAGAATGAATAAAGAAAGGAGGAAAGGGAACGCGAGTTAAAGATTTTTGGTATGATGATTGGCAGCATAAACCAGTCGGGTCAAAATTTAAGCAGCCCGGCGTCCACTCTCTGTTCCCAACCATTTGCCAATGTTCAGAAACAAACCAATATAGGAAACAGCTACGGATTTGATGCTCAGGATGTTACTCGCTACAACTTGGACGGAGACAAAACCTGTGTTGATTTATAGATGTACAACGTTTGCACAGTGTTAAAATTAAGGACTAAGTAACGTATTCATATTTGCTATTCTTTACCCATTCTGGGTTACGTAATTTTAGTGCGTTGTGTTATACTGTACTATGCAACTGTTGGAATAAAGATGCACACGAACGAACGTTGCATGTACAACACCTTGACTTGGATTACATTTTGGAGGCAATTAGCAATAAATACCTGCCTCGTACCCAGGTTCTTTAAATAATTATAACACATGAAGTATTCAGGTAGGCAGGCGACGCGCGAAGGGGCTTAAGGGAAGGGTGCGTGCTGGGGAGCATATCTCGCATTTCAAGTGCACTCTTCCCATCAGCCCCTTCGCCTATCTTTCCCCACTAGAATACTTCATGTAAACTCGTCATATGCGCATACGAGGCAGAATAAATACTGTGTGCTATAGGTTAACAGGTGGGCAATTTGTCTGAGCATGCGCAAAGAAAATCAATATGGCGACATATATTAGGAGTGTTTCGTGAATTTATCTGGTTTTAAAGCTGATAAAACAACGTTTTAATGAACGAAAACTTTGTAATATTTAGTGGGAAACATTAAGCTATGCATTCCAAAGGTTTTAAATTGAAAATAAGTACTTTTGCTTTATTTGCTTGCTTTTTATACTTTGAAAACAGGCAAGCTCATTTTTTGGCAAAAATCTAATATAATATTTTACCCATCATTTGTTTAATCTGAACAGAAATAGATAGAACACTTGGCTATATATAAGTGACAAAGGTGTTGTTAGCTTATCTGAAAGATTCAGTATTCCTAGTACACATTTTAACAAAGAATGAAATGTAATTTCAAAAATTTAATATGCATATCACAAACAATAGTTTTTATTAGAACAACACATAATAAGTTGTTATTTTCTATTTTTACAAAAACAAGTTTAGAAACAGGATTTAGTCCTCCAGCTTGATGTCATATTCCATTTATTTAGATATTTCAATAAAGGAATGTGAAATAATAATTTAATCTTGTGCAAAATTTGATACCAACACACATGTGAACAGATACTATCACCTAAAAATAAAAGAAAACAGAACTTAAATTTATCATCTAATGTTATGAAAAAAATCTTAGATACCACAGGCATATAGTGAGCACAATTCTTTAACAAACTCACTAAAATAAGTTGAGTTATACTATGATAAGAGGATGGCAAGAAATAACAACATCAAATGTTGTCATCTTCAGTGTCCAAAAAAAGTGCCGCGCGCATTTTTCGTGGTCACATAACTGGTATTGCCACAAACCCAGGTGAAAAAGCAATTAGAAAAACCTGGTTTTGGCTGATGAGCATAGTCAAATTCTTGACTTATTCAATTTTCCATGTTTTTCCAGGTAAACAGATTAAACATTGAAATAAGCCACATTCGGGACCTCGTAAAACCCAAACTATTGTGTATGGACCAGACTTTTTTCAATTTTCTGTGAATACATAACACTAGTTATAATTTAAGGGTCAACCAGTGTTGTTCAAGACATATTTTCCTTCCAGAACACCTTTTCAAAATATTAACCCAAACATATCAAAAATAGTGTACATTTACAAGGGCAATTTCAACCCTCTGGCACATTTTCCCCATGAATGATTTCAATTCTAATAAAAAGACTACAGATAAACTTTGATTTAAAGCTAGTTTCAAGTGATGAGCATACCCTAATTTTTAAGCTATACCTCAAAGAAGATGGGCCATTTCAACGTAAACATTGAAATATGGGTATACTGACAGCTCTGTCACACGTGTAGTTTGACATTAGCAGCCCTTCTGAAACATTTTAATGAAAGTATAAGTCACAAAATTCACATTTTCACTTACTTCTTAACATCTGTTTTAATCCAGCTAGCTCTGTAGGCACGAGCGAAATTTAGTGTTGATGTTAAATATCCATTTAGTTCATATTTCCCCGGTGAAAATATAGTCTATTCCAACGCTGATTTCGACGTACTTTAGCTTTTCAGAAACCGTTGGCCTTCCTCAGTGAGATTATATACTGTTTCACAAACATATTTGATAGTAAACAGCTAAAATATTCTCTGAAAGTCTATATTTTTGCTCTTCGACGCGAAAATGGCAACTCGAGAAGAAATGAGCCGCTATTTTTGGTCAGCGTCGACAAATTGCCCACCTGTTCTATAGGTTAACAAATTATAATTGGTTCTTTAAAGGATTTTTCCTTGTAAAAAGTTTATAATAAACTTTTTTATTATAAAGTTAAAAATAAACTTTTTATAAGAAAAAATCCTTTAAAGAACAAATTATAATTTGTTAATTTATAGCACACAGTATTTATTCTGCCTCGTATGCGCATATGACGAGTTTACATGATGTATTCTAGTGGGGAGAGATTGGCGAAGGAGCTGATGGGAAGAGTGCACTTGAAATTTGCACATTTTAAAGTTTATTTTGCAAACATTTTATATTTAAAGTGTTAATGTCAACCGATATATTAATATATTTATATCAATTATCATTGTATGGATTATTGTTCTCAGCTGGACGTCAGTTCTTCCTAGCTAAAGTAATCTGCTAATGCTTCACGAATGTTGTGTGCATCACATTCTACAATGTTAACGTTATCAATCCCCACAACTGCCTCTTCGGCTCTTTCTGATTCTTCCCACTGCGGCAAAAAATCGTTGTTTTGAATTTCGCAAATGTTATGCAGAATACAAGAAGCTAAAACAACATTGACCAGTGCAGGTACCTCCATATCAACACATTTTCTAAATCTAATAAAACGTCCTTTCCGCCTACCGCAGGTGTTTTCTACAGTCATCCTGGCTCTACTAAGGCGATAGTTAAACACTCGTTCTCTTTTCGGCTGGTTCTCGTTTCTCTGAAAACTTTTCAAAACCCATGGCAAGAGGGGATAAGCAGGATCCGCTATTATAAACGGTGACATTTCTACTCCTTGTAATTCCACAGTGAGATCATCTGGAAATAGCTTGCCTTCATTCCCTTTCTTGAAAATAGATGAATTTGAAAATACCCGTGCTTCGTGAACGCTTCCAGGCCAACCGATGACCACATCTCTATACAGGTATTTGCAATCCACTACATCTTGCATGATTATGCTGTGATAGCCTTTCCTGTTTACGTATTTTGCGTGACATTCAGACGCTGCAACAATAGGAATGTGTGTCCCGTCAATCGCTCCAGCACACATTGGAAAACCCCATAATCATTGATAATTTGCACCAAACTCACGACATACGACAACTGGCTTGTTATTGCGTTGCAGACATCTCTAACGCATAAACACACGAACAATCTTGAAGCACCAAATAAATTGGCTATAGTCCTATATTCAGCAGTGGATGCCAAGAAGTATAATGTAATGGCCAGCCGTCGCTTCGCCGAAATTGCAGAACGCATGACTGTATGTTTGCAGCGAATATATTCCACGACTTTATTTAAAAGAAATTCGAATGTTCCCCTTGTAACTCGAAAGTTTGAATACCAAAGTTTGTCATCATACACTCGATCTAACATCTCGAACCAGGTAAGTGATCGTGGATACATAGACAGTGCTCTATAACGTGGACGGTTAACACAAACTAATATTGCTTTCAAAAATGTAATTCGGAGTTTATTCATTGAATAAGCATCTGATCTCATCAGGGTTTTTTTTAAATATTTTATTAGCTCTTTTTTCTCTCCTACGAAGGATCCAAAGTAGCAGTAATTTGAGTTTGTGTGGTTGGTTGAAAGCGGCCATATTTAAATTTTCCCGCGGAAATATTAACCGCTGAAAATGTACTTAGGGCTCTATTTTTACGAGTGCCGTGCCAAATTATTGGAATGCCCGTCGATTTTTTTTTGGTCCGGCAATTTGGCAAACTTTTGTCGTGTAAACGTGTGAGTGCCGTGCTATGAATAAATGGTACGGTACCAAAAATTAAGCGTGCCGTGCCACAAACGTTTGTCGTTTAAACAGGCCTCAAGAACCAAAAAAGTGGTACGGGTTCCAATTTTATCCGTGCCGTACCAAAAATTGAGCGTAGTGTAAACGGGGCTTAAGTATCTCACCAACAAATTTTGTTTTTTAAACTTCTTTTCAATGTTAATTTCAACTCATTTACTCAATGCAGATCATAGGTACCTGGCTTTGGGGCAATAGCTAGGTCTTTTTATTTTTTAGTGGTGGGGCAGAGCAAGGGGGCCCAGTGAGGCAAATACCCCACCAACCCATGGTATTGAAAAATGCCTTGATTTAAACTGATGGCAATTTCCAATTCTTCCTCGCTCAAGCGGCCCGCCATCTTGAAACACGAAAATGCAATGAAATCGCTTTCGAACAACGTGGGGGGTCCGCGCATCACACATGTTTCAAAGCTTCACTGGCGTTTCACCGCCCATTCTTATAGACGCCATGCTGGGAGCGAATGCCTCCAGCGAATGCCTCCAACATATCCTATATAAAGGTCTTGATTGCCAAAGAACCTGTTAGATGTTCAAGGCAATTGATATGCAGTACGTCTCTTCTCTTTCAAGTCCAATGGGCGCTCGATACTGATACCCTGGCACTATGGGTTGGGACCCTTCCGAAAAACATTAGACTGATGATGAGATCTACTGGTTTTTGGAACAATGCGCTTCCATTGGATGCCTGAAGGTGATCCCTCCACCAAGTTATCTCTTCCCTGGTCACTTGATTTTGAGAAGTCAAGGCTTTGTACAACTGTTGTGAAGCCATTGCTGGCTTTTTGGGTTGTGCAGATGTTTGAAGTGTGGGGGGAGGGCGATGTGGAAAAAAAATATGTCTGAATGGCGGTGGTCAGGAGACCCAGAAACTTTGTCAATTCCCGTATTGAAATCTGTGGAAGACCCAATGTTTTCGAATCTTTCCCAACTATTTCCCTTGTAGTTGGAGGGTAAGGTCTCTGGAATCTTCTAACAAACCAAAACAATTCTAGCTGTTGAGTCGGAACCAATTGGGATTTCTTGTAGTTTATTATGAAATCAAGACTCTCCACAGGTTGAAAGTTGATGGTGCGTGATGGAGCCTAGTCTAGATCATTTTTAAAGATATAATTTAAATAAAATATGATTCGGATACCCCTCTGTCTCAGCAGAAATACAACTTGGATTCATTAACTAAACACCCTTATATGGCTGTGGCTAAGCCATAGGGAAAACCCGTTAAACAAGCAAATTCTAGCATGCTGTCTTTCCACAGAAAGCGCAGGTATACTGTCAAATATGCATCCTTCACATTGATCTTTACAAACCAGTCTCTCCGTTTTAAAAGATCTCTTAATATATGAATGCCTTCCATTTTGAAATGTTCGTATACCAGATATTGGTGCAACGGTTTTTAGTTAACTACTGAGCGATTGCTTCAAAGAACTTAAGAAGCGTGATTCACTAGAGTCTAGATAAACAGCTAATTGTTCTTCAGCAATTCATGTGTTGTGGTCGATAAACCACAGCTATAGGGTCCAATCGCTCTTTGAAAATTTGAGAATTTGGTCCAATGTTTTGTTTCAGATTTAGCTTAAGACTTTTTCAGGCTTTTCAGTGAATTCGTCAATTTCCACATTTCCCCCCACAACTTGTATTTGAAGGATTTTGTCAATTTCTCTTAGTTTATGAGATACTTATTAACGCGATATCTTAATTTTTTTGACTTGTAGAAAACAGTTAAAGATCTCGGCAATTGGGAGGCTGGTATGATAAGCGATTCAGGACAGTGCCAGTTTTTACGGTTATTACTGAAATTAATGAATGCAAAGAAAGCCATAGAAATTGGTTTGTATACTTTACATACACTTTTATACTACGAAAGGAAATGCTTTTGGGTGTGTGAGTGGGTTTGTCTGTTATCTTTATTAATATAGTTTTGTGAGAAAAGTCAATTCAAATATTTTTAGTCCGATCTTTAGAAAAATACATTTATGCATTTATGGCTTACAGTATGGATACAACAGTGAGCTCCATATATATCTGGAGCAAGAACTTCTGTCATCTGTGAGAAAAGTGAAGCCAAGATGGCGGCCATTGACGTGCAACAGCTACAGTATGAAGGTCGTAAACAGTTTTAATGTTATTTTCCCCAGCTGACAAATTCCAGTGTCTTTCTAAAGGACCGTATCGTTAACCAAATTATCAGTTCATAAAACCAATATTGTTATTCTTTAAATCGATGTCAAAATACGAAATGTCGGCGCACTCCTTTCCAAGATTGCGGAAATTGAACGAGCTATATTGGACGTCAGTTCCAGACCCTTCCTATTGTCTTTATCTGCGCGGTTAAAAAGAAGCTGACTTTTGGACTCGAGTTTTCGCTCCAGATATATATGGAACTCACTGAGATACAAGTACAACGAGTTTGTATGTTTATTTACCTTGAAACAAAATACACGAAACGATAAACCATAATGGCGTTATTCTGTAGCCCAAATGCTCGAATCTGTAAGATTTTTACGCTGCCTAAAGGCTGGCTTACACTGTCAAAGTGCCTGTGATCACAGTAGGAATTTTGCAAGAGATCTTAGAGGGAACGGACTCAATGTTTACCCTTAACCAATTTTAGCTTGTCTCATATCTTGTGTGAATTAATTATTAAAATTAATATTTTTATAGCGCAAATTTACATGTGGATATAATCAAATGCGCTTTACATCAAGCATTATACGTTTACCTGATTACAAACTTACCCTTGTCTTTTTTATCTTTACAACAATTGTGATATTACTTTCTTAACTGTGTTTTTCCTAACCCAACCTGTCAACCTTCCCTGGAGGGTATCGTCTTGTCACTCTTGTTGGAACAGTTGTCCAAGATATTTTGGTGATACCAGTGAATAATGAAATTGTCGAATACTGCACATAAATCGCAGGTTCGATTCCTGCCACAGGAAACACCGCGGAAAAACGTCTGCGCATGCGTCAACCTTACCTGTAATAGTATTACGAACTTGATGAGAAGCTGTTCCGAACGTTTCCGAAGGCTCAAAATGGCGGTAAAAAGGAGTGACTTCATTGTGCGTCTTTACAGCCAGATTTCAAGCGCAAAAATAAACATGTCATTCTAAAAACTAGGAATAAATACAGCCAGAAGGTTCAAGAAATTGTATTGTACAAGAACATGAACTAAAGGTGATTATTGACAAATTTATCGTCTGAAACATTTTGTTTATCAACTAAGCAACGACAATTTCCGAATTTTCGTTTGAGATACATTTCTTTAAAAAAAACTGTGTCGCCAAATATAAAAAATTTTCGTGTTCACAATAATTAAACTTTAGGATTTATTCTACAATTTGAGTGGGTTAAGAAACTTAACTTTTCGAGAGTTTTCTTAACTTTTGAGTTTGAATTTTTGTTTTGAATAATTTTGCAAAAATTTTCGAAGTCGTGTCCGTTAAAATCAACAATTTTTTACATGAATTATATTTCATTCCATACATTAAATGCCAGGACGCTTTCAATTAATGTCTAGTCTACCCATTTGCTATATTTTCTCGATTGTTTTACTAATTTTTGACCAATTAATAAGCATGTTTTTGTTTTAGAAATTGACATTCAAATTCCCCGCCATATTTTCATAATTTGGTGCATGCGCAGACGTTTTTCCGCGGTGTTCCCTTACAGACATTACTAATACCTATTCTTCCGTAAGAAACGTTTTGGCGATGTCTGGAAAGCTTATAACAAACCCAAACATTCTAAAGCTTGTAACACTTGTCCAATCCCTAAATCTAATCCTTGTACTGTCATTGAGAACATAAGACCTATAGGGATATCACAAGCATTTTTTCCAAAATACAAGAGAGCTACGCGTTAGAATGGATGTTGGATGATGCTAAAGATAGTATCAGCAGAAGACAGTTTGGTGGAATCCCTGGGTCGTCACCTATATTGGCATTGTTAGAAATGCCCACAATTGGTATTCAGCCATGGAAAATCCTGATACCGTGATCCGTGTTATGTTTTTGGACTTTACTAAAGCGTTCAATCTCATTGATCATAATATTCTTCTATCTGATTTGGAAAAGATAGGATAGGTGTAAGGCTTGCCTTATTGCCCTGGTTAGCGTCATATCTGTCTCAACGTCAACAAAGAGTCAAATTTGAGGGGAAGTCGACAGATTTCCGCAATATTAACGCTGGCGTACCACAAGGGAGCAAGATCGGCCCCTTTTCTTTTATTGCTAAGATCAATCGCCTACCGGACGTTGCAGTGACAGACAATTCAAC